CCAAATGATGTTCTCTCAGCCACTGTTATTTTCATGTGGGCCAGCATCACTTTATTGGATAGGGCAGGAGTCACTAATCACCTGAAACTAACAATCACAGTAAAATGTCATTGGTGTGGGACGTAAACGACAAACTGTAATCTTAAAATGGATGAAGTTATTAATAAAATATTATCTGTTTTATCCCAGTTCTCATCACGTAGGTGTCTCATGTTATTTTGAGCTGCAGTGATGGAATCAGAGTGTAAAAGAAGCGTTCTCTGTGTTTGTCAGAAGCTCTGTTTTAAAACCAGTGGAAATAGAGCACTGGAACAATTAAATTATTCTACTGTCCTCTAACAATATATAGGCTACTTGTTTTTTACCTGAGACTCCAGACTTTTGTCCATGGATATTTTTTCTTCAGTGATCCCATTAGTCAGATCCGATACTGTGAAGTTGTTCAGCATAAGTTACCACGATAATTTATCCCAGTAAAAAGAGAACCAGCTTCGTAGTACTGAAAACCCTGAAGTTACCTCGCTAACTTCAAATCCTGCTTTGTAGTACAGGCCTCAGGTCTACAGAGTCCATCATGTTGTTCTACAGTAGCCCAGAATGGCCACTAGATAGGGCCATTCGTTGTTTTGCATCCTACATGTTTGGCACCTGGGAGTGTTTTCAGTTCTGCAACCTCACCACTAGAGGCCACTAAATCCTTCACACTGGACCTTTAAATTCAAGGGGTGATCCCAAAGTTTTCTAAGATACTTGGAAAATGCATAATGGTCTTCAATTAGTCTAGAATATTCGCAACACAGTGCCGTGAAAATTGAACTCAATTTAAACATATAGCTCCGCTGACAGTGTTTAACAAACTGATAAAGTATATATGGTATATATTCCACACTGATACAGTGTTCAGCTTCATTATCTTTCTAACTTTGAAGCTACTTAAAGGTAAAAAGGTTCGGTTGTACTTTAAGGTGGGTTTGATATAATAATGTGAATATCAAATAAAATGTATTAGGAGTTTTGTGCTTGACCTCTTTGGAAGAGGTGCGAGATATTTTTCGTTAGCTATGAGATGAATGTTAATCGGTCTCAGGGTACATCTGCTCAATTAATTTATAGCATTTTTTGTTCTCTTTGCTTTTATCAATGCAAATTTGGAGTGGTGTAATATATAACCCAGAGAAATTGCTCTCACAAAGTATCCTGTGCCATCATCTCCACAAAGTCCTGTTCCCTGCCAGTGGAGCGTTTTATTTTGAAGTCATTATTGAGAGTCCCAGCTCCCTTGAATCTCGTTCCTGTGGGAAGGTGGTGTCCAGGATCAAAATACATGACTGAATTGTCTAAGATAATTGGTATAGCAGATGTCAGTTCTGTTTCCAGTCGGGTCTTAGTTCAGTTTGCAGTTAGTATGTTCTTATCTCTCAATTATGTAAGGCAGTCAATTTGCCAGAGGGGCTGAAAACTGTAGTTCTGTGAACATGACAACTGTAAACCAGGTGATCAAATATTTTCAGGAAGAAAAACTGACACAAGGACACAAGCTGTTTACCGGCTGGAAATGAACAGCTCTGTCATTCGTAGGTCATTACAGTGACAAGCTGTTTTTGGACTAAGTGTTATGTTGATTAAAAAATGTCAGTGAATCCAGCTTATTGAACAGCTAGAGATATTTATAGAGGGGAAATAAACACTGTGTAATTAAGACTTAATTTTACAAAGTGAAGCAATCTACTGTCAGATATTGCTACAAATACATTTTCTCTTGGTGTCATGGCCTTGTAAATTAGAAAATCAATGTAATTCCCTTTTCTTCTTTGCCTTAATTTACTTTTAATCCTTTCCCCACTTATTTTATGAAAATCTTTATTTCTTTATTTCCGTCATTTTAATCAAGTTTCCTGACCTGTTAAGGAATTTCTGAATCCACTTTTCATCCACAGTTGGTTTAATTCACCTTGCTCAATAGCTGTACTCAATAGTCATCTGCATAATCACTCTACTAAGTACTGAATGTAGTTCTGGGTGGGGCTATAACCAACAATTATTTTCATTACTTATTAATCTGTTGATTATTTGCTTGATTATTTGATTAGTTGTTTGGTCAAAAAATGTCAGAAAATGGTGAAAAATATTGATCAGTGGTTGCACAAAGCTCTCAAGCAAGTCCAATTAAGGTGTACTTGAAAAATTTGGTTGCACAAAACATGCTTAAGTTTTCTCCTTAAGGTTTCAGGTAAAATGTTTGCTTAACGATTTAAGGTTTTCTCCTTAACGTGGTCTTATTCTTAAGGAAATGCTTAAAGTTCCCTAAAGAACTTAGGTTCTTTCTTAAGAACCTTAGTGATAAAAGTAAGGACAAAAAACAAAGTCTCTGACTCCATCTTAATCGCATGGTTCAGTTTATGGAGATTAATGAGAAAAATTAAAGCATCCCGAGAAGAGTGTTAATGACCGGGAGAACCCGATGGACACACTTAATGATGAGCAGCTGATATCCCACTTAGAAGTCAATTTATGATTGTGACCAACAGAGGATCACTCAACTTTCCAAAGCTGCATTCTTTCAGCCTCTTTACAATTAATGATTGCGCTGTGGTTTTATGCAACGGGATCCAGGATATCGTCCTCAAATATCTTGTTTTGTCCACAACCCAAAGATATTCAGTTTACTAAAAAAATAGTAAATCCCTGTGCACAGCGGCGCAGTGCTTCTTCTAGGTGCCAGCTGGTGCAGGATAAATCACAGTCAAGAGTTCAAAGACTTCCAGCGCACACTAGAATATCAGGATTGACACAAAGTTTATTCAAAAATGTTTAACAACAAAAGGAGCGAACAACGTGTTTCGCTTGTTGCGTCATCAGATTCGCTCAGAAAATAATTACATTTAAGAAGCTGGAATCAGACAATTTTGCTTTTTTTTTCTTAAAAAAAAAAAAAAATTACTGATTATTCTGCCCAACATCGGTATCACCCAGTATTCACTTTTTTGACTGCCATGAACCTATTAGCAAATGAGATGACATTTACAGATGGCAGTGGCTGATGTTTTTTCTCTTGTGTCATATCAGTTTTGCACGAGCTAAAGAGCAGGGCTTAAGACCAACGGCGCAAATAGAAAGCGTGTCTGGGACAAACAGAGATTCTCCCAGGGACACCTTCAGGATGAAGGATGCTGTAAACTCACTATCGATATGTCAGAGGAAGCACCATGTTGTTTCCCTGATAATGCTACAGTGTGAACAACAGATCCTGCCTAAAATTCGAAGGAGGGATGCTGGTTAACGTTAAGCTCAGTTCAGACCAATGATTCGGGACAAGACAAAATAGTTTTAGATTGTTGTGGAGAAAAGTTGCAGCAGTGTGAACTGGCCGGTCTGAGCTCGACTCAAGCCGGCTGATGGTGTCACCTGCAACTCAGCTGGTCAAATCGCTGGTGGCTGGTTTTAGAACGTAAAGCATGTCATCTGTTTCAACAGCCAGTCAGCTTGTAGTGAAATCCGTTGGTCAAGTCACAATGTCTGCAGATGGTGTGTTTGCTTGCTGCGGCAGGTGCTCGGTCCCCGCTGAGCCCTCTGTTTCAGTCCTTACAGTGTGCTGGTGTCGGTTTTTTACTGTTTGATCGCTACCACAAATGTAACTGTAGCCAGTATCTCACTATCCTCATTCATATTTTAAGAAGCTGCAAATTATATTCAGCCACAAAATAAGCCTGAAAAGCTGGGAATCAGAGTGGAAGTACAGGAAGTTGTTGCATAGAGGTGATACACCATCTCCTCAAGTTCCATTGGTGTGAACCGGCAGGTTTTTAGAAGGTTGCTGAATGGCGCATTGCAAGAAGTTGACTGTTTCAACTCGTCTTATCATGAGTCTTTGGTCTGAAATGGGCTTAACAGCGACAATAGAAAACGTGTTTGGGTTGAACGAAGATCCTCCTTGGGACACCTTCAAGATTAAGAACACTGTAAATTCACTTTCAGTATGTCAGAGGATGCACAATATTATTTCCCCATGCTAAATTGTGAACAACAAATTCTACTTGAAACAGGCAGGAGGAAAGCTAGCTAACGTTAGCTGTTAGCAGTCGGTGGCAGTTATTTTTTTTAATAATGGAGATTTCATTGTTTACCTGGCACAATATGGTGAATAGATAAAAACAAAAACAAAAAACACTACAGCAACAAAACAAAAAAAAACACTGGTTTTGGCTATCGTCCATCAGCCATCAGCCATATTGTTATTTTAAACTTAAACTGATTAATTGATTATCAGATTAGTTAGTGATTAATTTAACAATTGACAACAACTCAGTTAATTCACCAATCATTGCAGCTCTGTTTCTGGACATGTGCAAAACCCCTCAATATTACTAATTCTTATAGGATAGTAAAGGTTATGTGTTATCGTGCTCGGCTCGTCTTAAAGTAACAGCTGAGATTCTGAGGGAATAATGCTGCCCTAACAAGATGCCCTAACAAGACAGTGTTACTCGATACAGACATACTTTTATTTAAATGAATGAAAAGAAAGATAAATGTTTTCTCTGGGTGAAACAGCACCAGCCTCTACATGAATGAATTATTGAAACGGCAGGATAAGTTTGTCAAAGCGCACAATAGAAACGTTAAGCCTTGCAAAAGGACGTTTGTGAAAGCCCAGCAGCAGAGCACTGTCTACTCTCTTTGCCACTCAAACTGTTGTTGACTCCACGCTATTATCGATTAGTTAAACTTAGCATGAAGTGCAAAGAAACAAACACTCTTAAGTTAAATAATAGACCATTCACCCTCCCTGACACTGCTTTTTTACCCACTATCCTCTTGTGCTGCCCTCCAGCGCTTCTCTTCCTCCTGTTCTCCTCTCATCCCTCTCCAACATTTCTCTGCTGCTATTCCTCTTTTATCTGCCTCCCTCTTACAGGCCGTTTCTCTATCTGTCTTTGTAATCTCTCTGCTTGTCCTATACGCCTTAACCCATTCCTTCGTCTTATTCTCTCTCTCTTTAGGTCATCCATTACTACGGTCTATATCGAAGTTTTGCCTCCAAACAACCAGAGCCCTCCACGTTTCCCCCGGCAACAATACAACCTGGAGATCAGTGAAGCAATGAGGACTGGAGCTAAACTGCTTAATCTGCAGGTACACTCACATACACACACACACACGTCTTATACACTCACAGGCCACTTTATCAGGTACACCTTGCTAGTACTGGGTTGGAACTGCCTTAATTCTTGTTGTCATAGATTCAACAAGGTGCTGGAAACATTCCTCAGATTGACATGATAGCATCACACAATTGCTTCACATTTGTCGACATTTGTCGATTTGTCGAGTACACTAAATTCAAATGACAACTCAAACTGAAATGACACCAAAACATTCGGAAGTATGGCTATACTACACATCTCTGGCGTCTGGTGGCATTTTACATTACTGAAAGCTTCCATTCACATGATGGGTATTGATTAGAATGGATTAGAAAAAAAGAGAGGCTTCAAATTATGTTTTCTATTCAAAACAGTATCATTTTAAGGGTACTGGTATTGTATTTTTTTTTAAACAATACCCAGCCTTAGACCTACAACCAATTAGAGCAACAAAACCTGATGTAGATCTGAGCTACAGAGAAATGTCAACAGACTAACGTGTGCAGAAATGAGCTGTGACAATGTCGCATCAGTATGTCTGTAAACGAGTATTCCTGTTTTGCTGTTGGAAATTTGAAAATAGTACTTCAACAGAGAGTTCTACATCAGTTGCAGCCATTTTGGTTGTTCTTGAAGATCCCTCAGTAGCGCTCCTCTTTACTAAGCTAGGTTTATGCTTGCCGTTGTTCCTGGCATGAGGGTGCGCAAGGCAACAATGGCATCAACAAGTATTTGGCATTTATCATCTGAAACATGTACCACATTAGATAAATAGTTGTGACTGGTCTGAAATCTGTCTGAACCAAAGGAGGACCAGACACATCTGCCCGAGCAAATAAAACACGAGCTTGCAGATTTGTCTGGTTCCCAGGCTATTTTTCTCACATTTGGAGCAGCAGAAATGGGATGTTTCAGACATTTATCCATTACGTTTTGCAAACTGTTTCAATCACTTTTGTCATTTTTTTTTAGCTGTAACAGTTGTTATCCATCACTTTTACAGTAGCCAACTATTTCAGCCATCAGTTGATAAGTTTTAGCTCCCTACTTGAGTTGGTCAGTCATTACATCAGCTGACAATTTCAGCTTCTCAATGTCTCGCAAGTTTTCACACACTGTTGAAGAAGTATTTCACTGCTGGAAAAGTGGTATTTTCATAAAACTGGGATGTCTATGCAGGAGAAAGACGCATATGCTTTTGTAGGTGGTGAAAACAGAGAAAAGGAGCTGTGCTCAAGAGGTAGAAAACCTACAACTACAAGAATGCACTGCCATGTACCGTAACAGTAAACACTCCCACTGGTGGGTGGTGTAAGCTTGGCCATTTTTCCACAGGAAACAAAATTGCAGCTGGGTGGTAACAAATAATCTCAAATTACAGTTAAACAGTAAGCTTAAATATGCTTTTCAAAACATTTGGGGTGAAACAGGCAAAGCTGCAACAGAATCCTGTTTCACATTGAATAAACACCGTTTAGTAGAGGGCTGCATTGGGACTGGGTCCCACGGGACCCAAATCTTGCGGGAGTGGGCATTGAACTTTGCTGCGGGCGGGTACGGGCGGCTAAAAAAAACACTGCAGGATCAGGATGTAGCCTATAGCGACAGGATGGAGTTAACAAATGATGTGGAAAAGAAGCTCAAACAAGGTCTGAAGGCGCACTGAGCCCTCTACTTCCCAGCACTCTCAAAGCTGGCGCGTTTCATCTTCAGTATCCCCGCATCCAGTGCGCCTTCAGAGCAGGCCTTTAGTGTCTGTGGGCGCATCTTGGAAGAGAGACGCACGGGATTGGGACCGCAGTTGGTCAGCAACATTCTCTTCCTCCACAGCAGTATTATGGCCAAGTGATTCATTTGTTAAATTCATTTGTTTCATTTGTTAACTTTGTTTATTTTATGTTTTTTATTAGTGTTATTTGAGCCACTCATAGCCTACTCTCGTTGCTATTTGTTAATTACATAAAGAGGCGTGATGATGCCGGTGTTATTGAGCATAGGCTTTATCTTTATCTCATTAATGTTTCTTATTCACGTCTCTCTTAGAAAAGAGACCTTAACCTCAATCACTGCGTGATTATATAAAGGTAGAAAAACAAATAAAATACAGAGGAGGAGAATAGAATATGAAACAGCCTTTATTTCATTAAAAACTAAATGAAAACAACGAAATAGGAGCGCTATTCCTGACCAGTGCGTCAAAAGACATGCAGGCCAGGGAAATGAAACAAACAACCCCATGAATCTCTTTATTAATAGCCTATAAAATGACGTGTTTTCTCCTGCGGGACGGGAGAAGACACAAAATCAATGCATCTCTATTATTGTGCGGGCATAAATTCTCAGAATTTTGCGGGAGCGGGTGGGAGTGGACATACACATTGCGGGAGCGGGCGGGAGTGTAACACACACGTTGTGGTTGCGGGCAGTAATGGTCAGAATTCAGCGGGAGCGGGCAGGAGCGGGATGAAGAAAACAGTCCCGCGCAGGGCTCTACCGCTTAGTTCAACTGTCTGATCTCAGTTTCTTCAGCCACGGTTTTTACAGTACAGGACTCAGTTTTGTGCCCATTTCTTTGTCACAAATTCTCATATTACAGCCAAACAGTGCACTAAAATGTGTTCCTGAAGACATTTTAGGAGAGAAATAGGCAATACAGTAACAGAATATTGGTTTGTTTGATCAACGCTACCTAGTTTTACTGTTTGATCTGAGTGTGATCTGAGTTTGAGAGAAAGAGAGGAGTGAGCCTCTCTTAGGATCTACTTCTATACTCTTCTACTACTTCTATACAAACCCAGGCTCCGTACATGTGAGCTCCAGGTAGAGACAGTGCTGATACTACCTTTCCTAGCAAATTCACCATAGGATCTGCTTCTATACTCTTGTGTCCGTGGTGGTGGGCATACAAAAATGTAGAAGCACAGTCTGTAGTTCAAGCAACAGCCCTAGAGCCAGTAAATATCCGCTAGATGATGTATGCTCCTGAGTTGGGAGGTGAGCACGGAGATCAGGGAGCTGGTAAGATCGGGGGGGAAGGTTATCATAGTTGATTTGCACATACTGTCCAAATTGTTATGATACAAAGCTGGTTGTTCAAATAAACACAAGAAATTTGTGCTCTAGATAAAGGATCAGCGCTCAGTGAATAACCTCCTAAGCCCTATGATAAGTTGTTATGGCAAGGCTTAACTATACAGACCAGTGAGCAGTGATAACTAACCCGACTTTGGGGTCATCAGGTGGGAACCTCCTTTCACCAGTGTTTCATCTAGTTGGTCCCACGACACGTCCAGGAGGCTAGACAGTGATCTCTGGCGTCCCAGACACACTCCCCTAATGCCAGCTCTCACTGCTCCCCACACCAACCCAACAACCTCCTTTACCTTACTTACACATGGCTTTCTCAGCCCAAACAGCACTGCAACCTTCAACAAACCCAGACTCCATTTATGCGAGCTCCAGGTACTGACCGTGCCGATACTACCTTTCCTGGCACATTCACCGTAGGATCTGCTTCTATACTCTTTGTGTCCGTGGTGGCGGGCATACGAATATGTAGAAGTACAATCTGTAGTTCAAGCAACAGCCCTAGAGCCAGTAAATATCCGCTAGATGGCGTATTTCTTTGAGTTGGGAGGTGAGCGCGGAGATCAGGGAGCTGGTAAGATGGAGGGAAGGTTATCAGAATTGATTTGCACATACTATCAAAATTGTTATGATACAGAGGTCGTTGAAAGTTGGCAAAGTGTTTGATTTATTGTAACCATAGTGTTTAGGAGTTACAGCTGACTCAATCTGAGGATTTTATTTTATTTTTTTCAAATCTTAAATATCTTTAATAGATCAAATTGTAACTGTTCTACTAATGGAGTTACTCCACATTCTTTACACGTACTCCCTGGCAACTGTAACTCCAGCTTAGCTGGAAATTACTGCTGTGTTTAGGGGTAGAATTTAATGTTTTAAATAAGAGTGCTGTATGTCTGTGTTTACTTCTTAAGGCAGTGGATCGGGAGAGGGACCCCATCACCTACAAAATCCACAGCGGAGACCCCCATGGACATTTTGCGCTACAGCAGAAGTAAGTACACACACATACAACAACACACACACACACACACACACACACACACACAAATAGTATTTTATCATTTTGGATCAAAACTCTGGAGCTTCTTGAAGTTAATATTTTCAGTAGCTAAAGCAGCGCCCTTTTTCTTATTTGAGTATCTTGATGTGTATATGTCCCATCTGAGTTTGTCCATACTGTACAACATGGCAGTATGCAGTTATCGTCTGCGTGTGTGGGTGTGTGTCGGTTGGAAGCAGCCTTAATTATATCATTATATCCTCGGCTCTGCCGAGGGCTTCACATAAACACCCCCATACTTTCTCCCACATAGACCCCCCCCCCCCCACACACACACACACACACACACACACACACACAGACTCTGAGGGCTTTTGTTGTATTTATTCATTTATTGCTCATTAAAAATGCATTTCTTATGCTGGGGAAAGATCCTATCTACATTTCTAGAGGGAGGAGGCGAGAGAGAAACAAAAGAGAGTAGGGTGAAAGACTGCAGGAGGAGAGGCGGAATTATAAAGATGGGAAAGAAAGGAGGGAGAGGAGGAGAAAGAGAGATAAGAGGGCAGGGCAGGGAGAGAGTAAAAGATCGACAGAGTGTTAGAAAGAGCTGCGAAGGGAGCGATGAACAAGAGTGACGGACAAAAGCGGATTTAAAACGAAAGGAGAGGACTAAGTGAAGGAGTCCCCTGCACAGTCATTCATAACAGCAAAGATTAAAATGAATTAAAGAGCTTTAATTTCTGCATTCTAGGAGTATCTGTTCTGTCGGACACTGTGAAATCTTCCAACATGTGCCAAAATGTTGGGGTGCCTCAGCTGTGTTTTGTGCATTATGGCACTACGAGGACAAGCCAAGTTGTTCCTTTTCCACCGCACAAGTGCAACATGCCGTGCCGCCTCATATTGGCACAGGATGAAGTGATTTTTCAGTGCCTTTGTGCAGATTTGGCTCAGTTAAATACTCACCGAAGCGCATCTGGAGAGCACCCGAACCGTTCTGGTATTTGCCCATTTCGCAAGGTGGCTGCCACCGAAGGAACACACGTTAACGGCCAGAAGATTCGGATTAGTTTAAGACAGAAATAAAAGGGGCCAGCATCAGCATGGGATGCCAGTGATGAGCTTTGAGGAGGTTTATCAGCTTCCTTTATAAATAAATTTGAATTCTCCTGGGTTCATCCTGAACATTTGGATTTATCGTAGGTCTTCCACACATGTCGCAGCAGATGTTTGATTTGAGAGCAGTGGGCATGTGAAGAAAATGTGTCAAAATGTGTGGTGTAAATTTAAGAAATAAGACGTGTGTGTGTGTGTACAGTACATGTGCTCACTCAGACTTTGCTTTTTATGAATCATCCCTAAAAACACATGAAACGTTTTTTTTACTTTGTTAGAAATTAAAAAAAACAGCTTCACATCTTTCCCTCTGTAGACCACTTAACATCCCCACACACACACCCATACATAATCGCAGACATGCACACACACTTTCAAGCACACACACACACACACACACACACACACACACTGTCAGTATGTGGAGAAAATGTGCATTTCAGATGGTTTCTAATTCATGAAAGTAGCTTAAATTAAAAACACTTCAATCATTATGTAAATCTTCTCTTGGAAAATAAAAAGTGTAATCAATCACGGCCGACATCAAAGGCTTCTGCTGGTTTTGATTGGTCAGAAGTCTCAGACAGTCTGCACTGATACTGTTGATCTTCCAGAGAAGACTCTAACTTATGCGTTAATCATTTGCCCTTAAATCTGACTTTTATCTCTTTGCTTCTGTTTGGACATTTTTGATTGCTGAATTGTGCTCAATGAGTAAGTTGAGATTATATGACCAGTGAACCATATTAATATTTCCCACTTTGTGCTTTATAAAAACATGACTCAAGGAGCTGCTTACTGTTTCTTCCCCTTCTATTTGTTTTTGTCTATCAGTTATATAATCACTTGGGGTGTAAATCACAAGTTTCATCATATTACTCTTCTTTGGACAGTGACACTTTATTTGCTGACATCACAAAGCAGCTACGTTGCTGTAGCAAAAGCAACAATTTGAATAAGAGTCAAAAATACTTTATTGATCCCCGAGGGAAAAGTTGTGATTTGTTACAGTTGCTCCAATGTAAAGAAGTAAGAAAACAACTATGAAATATAAGTATGTGAATATAAAACAATAAAATAAAATGAAATAGAAATGAAAATCCATTCATCCATTTTCGTAACCGCTTATCCTCTTGAGAGTCAGGGGGAGGGGGGTGCTGGAGCCTATCCCGGCTGACACTGGGCGAGAGGCAGGGTACACCCCGGACAGGTCACCAGACTATCACAGGGCTGACACATAGAGACAGACAGCTATTCACACTCACGTTCACACCTACGGAAAATTTAGAGACACCAATTAACCTGCATGTCTTTGGACTGTGGGAGGAAGCTGGAGTACACAGAGAAAACCCACACTGACACGTGGAGAACTTGCAAACTCCGCACAGAAGGGCTCCCTCCTGGGATTGAACCAGGAACCCTCTTGCTGTGAGGCGACAGTGCTAACCACCACACCACTGTGACGCCAGAAATCAAAATGTACATTAAAATAAAAAATAAAAATAGAATGTGCATTATGCTCAGTGTTTAACACTAGTACTTGAGACAAGTTAGTGAAATTAGATGCCTGGCCAGGTTCATTGTGTTTCCTGGTTATTTAATCTTGTAACAGCATTGTGTACGTATGGCATGTGCTTTGTCTGTTGACCCATCCTTTGCCAGAAAGCCAAAATATTCCCACACTGCTGATTTACACCCAAAAGGGGAGTAAACATCCTCATCGTCTTTCTCTTGGCTGCTTGCTTTTATCTGTCTTGTGCTGTTTGATGGTGACGGAGATATTCAAAAATAAAGGTGTATTTAAAGATGATATGTATAGTGGCCCTTTCGACGTACCAAAGTTCCAAGGCCACTTAGTGAGGTTTCTCGGTTTGGTGTTTCTGTTCCTTTTCTGGAGATTGACAGTAGTCACGAAGTAGGGAAAAAGTTAAACGAGGTGGGGGAGCCCTTCTCTGTAAAGTTTGCATGTTCTTCCCATGTCAGCGTGGGTTTTCTTTGGGTACTCCAGCTTCCTCCCACAGTTCAAAGAAATGCAGGTTAATTGGTGACTCTAAATTGTCCGTAGGTGTGAATGTGAGTGTGAATGGTTGTCTGTCTCTATGTGTCAGCCCTGTGATAGTCTGGTGACCTGTCCAGGGTGTACCCTGCCTCTCACCCTCTGGAATCTTTGGTATTGGATACACTTCAGGTCTCCCAGTACATATCAGTATTAGATATGCACCAATAAACTCATATGTTGATGTTGTGAGACCTTTTCTGTAATCACCATTGGCTAGTAAAATATAATAAAGTCTCTTTTTAATAAGTAATTAATCAGTGTTCAGATTTAAAGATCTTACGGAAGTTTTTAAGTATTTAGCACACACACTCCTTATTTTGGTGAAAAGGCTGTTACCTAAGAATAGCGGGGTTTTTATGACACATCACTGTCTGAGCCATTATAGCAACAGCACCCTGGAGGGTGTTCCCTCATATCATTGTGGGTGAGCTGGTAGGTATGAGGCGTCATCTGCATCAGCAAAGTGCCCATAATCACAGCAGAAATACACTTCTGGGTGTAAAAGCTTTCAAGCAGTGGTTATCAGTGCTCACAACTGTCTGAAAAGTTTTCTCCAAAGTGGTGTATTTAAAGAGGGATAAACATTTTAAGAAAACAAGACAGTTATCCAAATGTTTCCCAGAGTTAGCATAGAAAGTAGTCACAATTAGCTGTCAGGATCAGCGTGAGAATGATGGTTTGCAAACAGCGACTTATGAACTGAAACTTCTTGGGTATGAAAACCAACACATGCTACACCACAGTACCCAGTTCTGCTGTGTTTGCTGTTCAAAGTCCTGTGTTTTTTATTTGTCTGTTGTGATCCATTTTTAAGCCCATGCCTAAAGTGTTAACAGGACTCTGTGTGCTCTTTCTCCAGTTCAGGGTATTTGGTCCTGGACAAGCCTCTGGACAGGGAGTCTCTGGATTATTATACCCTGGTGGTCACAGCTTCAGACAGACACCCAGATGGGGTAAGAGACTGAACTGCACCGCACAGATATTAACTGGTTGTCTTTACTTGAGTTGTTTCACATTCCCAGTGGAATTAAACTGAGTGGCTGCCAGAAGGGAAACTAAATACTTCACAGTGAAAAGCCACAAACAACAGCTGTGGTGTTGTGTGGAAAGAGGGATATCACAGGCAATTTTCTGGAAAAACGTCTCATTCAGCGTTAATAGTAATCATAATAACCATCACCATTAAAATGACAAGCCAAAATCTATTTGTAATGATGAATTGAAACCCTGAGTAGAGGTCAAGCTGTTTAAAAAATGAAAAATAATGAAACAAATTACTACCTGAGTAAAAAAAATTCTTTGGTGATGAGTGAGGCTCATCTGGCCTTCAACTTTTTGTTTAAAACTGCGACAGTCACATGTAATAGAGCAGACCTTGTAGCATGAAAGTGTGCACTTACAAAAAAACAGTCATTAGTCATCCACGTACCAAGTAGGACTAAACAATTATCCACAGATTTACACATTTTAACTGAGCACTGATAAACCTACAAAAATCTTGTTTTTGCTCACTCCCCAGTAGCTTAAATTCTCAGCTTGCACACTGCAACAAATTACAGATGTAATGCTCACTTCAGACGAAAGATTCGCAACGAGACAAAACAGTTTTAGAACGTTGCAGAGAAAAGTTGCAGCAGTGTGACCTGATGGTGTCATCTGCAACTCAGCTGGTCAAATCGCCGGCGGCTGGTTTTAGAACACAAAGCTCGTCACCTGTTTCTACAGCCAGTCAGCTTGTAGTGAAGTTCGATGGTTCAGTCATGACCGCAGATGGCTGGTTCGCTTGCTGCAGCAGGTCCTCTGTCCCCACTGAGCCCTCTGTTGCTGTTCTCATGATGTGCCGGTGTTGGACAGTGGGTCACTGCTGCTGATGCTCACTGTATGTGTTTATGCCCCCCACACTAGAGCTTAGATTCTTTGCCTGAACCAGGCTGTACTTTCCTGCCACTATCCTCGGGCTCAGACAGGTGGGGCTCCTCATAATAGACCTAGGCTATGGAACCAACTACTTAACACACCGGGGTGTTGGCTTCGTCGACTGTACCAAGTGCAGCACGATGCTGGTATATGACAGCAAAAAGATGGGGACCTTGACACTTAAGAGGCACATGACGAAGGCTTGCCATGGAAAGAAAGACCAGAGTCAACCTTCAATGTCCACGTTCGTATCCTTAAAAATAATGTCTGGTGTAAACCGGGCTCGGGCTCATAATTACAGTTAAAGGGACGAGCCGGGCCAGTTTCGGACAGAACATGTGCAGGCCACACACGTTCTCATTGACTGATTAATTGGCACTGATTATTTATATTATTGTAGTGTATTTATTACGAATACAGTCCATCTGATGGTCATTTTATGTTTTTCGCCGCTTCATCCCTACTACAAATACTACACTACTATCACTATCCTCATTCATGCTTTAAGAAACTACAAATTATATTCAGCCACAAAATAAGCCTGAAAAGCTGGAAATCAGAGAGGAAGTACAGAGAGTTGTTGCATAGAGATGATACACCATCTCATCTAGTTGCACTGGTGTGAACCAGCAGGTTTTTAGAACGTTGCAGAACGGTGCAGAACATCCTTTCATTTTGAAGTTAAAACTCTCCATGGTATGAACAGTGGTTACATGAACTTCAAGCTTCAGCCACAGCTCAGCCCTGAGCAGAGTGACCGTCTGCTATTGACCAATCAACAGACTGCAGTGTTCACAGCTCCACTTTTTAGTAGCAGATCTGTGTGCTAGGTACCCCAACAGAGGGGGGACCAAAAATGGGGACAGTACGGAACAGTTCCATTGGTACCATCCACAACTTTTCACAGTGGAAATGGGAAAAAAGTGTACCGAACTGAACTGCTCTGTGGAAATGGAGCTTAATTCGTAAAATACTAAGCAACCAAAAAAAGCCAAAATTATGATAGAGGAAGATGTGGTCATCCTCGGGCAGAGGGCGTACCCCAGGGGAGAAGAGCCCACAGCAATACCAACTATTGCTGTTAAGTTTTGTTAAAAGGAATGGGACGATCTAAAAAATTGACATTAAAGATCAAAGTGCTCTACAGATATTTAGCGTCATTGTTGTCACGGGTGGGAAAATATCCTCACTGTCTCATCCTTACATGCACTCACTTTATGCATTCATGTTTAGATCCTGGTAGTTTACGATCCAACTCTCTCGAGTGCAAAAACTTTGTAGCAAGTGTTATTTTCAAACCAAAAAAACAAGCAGAGATTTGAATAGTTTCTTGATTGTTTTGGCATTTCGATGCAGATGGAGTGCTTGAACGATCTGAAAACACAACTGTCAATGCATGTTGTTTTCACACATAAACTGTGGCTCAGTGTGGATGTGGTCTGAATCAGCCCGTAACTGTACAAAATGGTGAAAAAATCTTATTTACTCTGCTGCATGAGCCATTTCGCAAAGATGGATTGCGTGCCCTTCCTGACTTTCTCACTTACCTAATTGATCACAGGTCATCAGAGTCACTCTCTCCATCTCTCTCTGTTCGTGTTCTCCTCGTTTCTCCTTTTTTAAAAGTCAAATCTTCAGTTACCCTCACATGAAAGTCAAATGAAGACATTGGATGGAGTCCCCCCCCTCCTGCCCTCCCCTCTTTCATCCTTCTCTTCTCCTCTGGCTTTCAACAATTTCCTCTTTCAGCTCCTTTTTCTCTTCTCCCCCTCATCATCCATCTATTAGTCTAGCATTAAAAGAAGTTTGTCTCCTCTCCTCCTCCTCGCTGACCCCCCTCCCCCACATGTCAATTAAAGCAAAAGGTAAAGTTTAAGGTCCCTCTGAGGAGAGAAAATGCTGATTTGAATACTCTGACCTTCTCTCACACACTCCCTCGCACACAATATGAAGGGAGAGAACAAGTGGGAGGAATTTTGAGAGAAAGAGGAAGGAAGAGAGATGTGAGAGGTGTTCAGGGAGCTCTTATTACCTTAACAATTGTACTGTGTGTTCATACACACTTCTAGAAAGGACTCTTGACACATACACACTCACAGACATGCACACATATACTTAGTCAATTGCTCTCTAGACCTTGACAATTAGTGTATTATCTTTGTGCCCCAAAGGTCTTTAAGTCTGAAAATGGCTAAAAGTAGTTTGGACATTTTTCTGCTTGACACTCCATTATATTTCGCACAAGCAGGAAGAAGAGAGAAAGAGAGAGAAGGTGTGTGAGCTACAGACAGAGAGGAAGACAAGGAAAGAAAGAAATAGAAAAAGGAGAAGAGAAGATTGGGGTGTAGTCGCCTTCTACGGGCCCATTAATCAGCATCACTCGAAAGGCCTTGGGTTGTCTTCATATGCGTGCACACACACACACGTCTGTGTCCCCTATTATTAAATGTCCCGTTGTGAGAGTGTCAGACTACAAAGTGCCTAATTGGCTATTTGGCCAGTGAATCCATCATACTGCCACAGATTGAAGGCCCTACAAGCTGGTGCAGTAAACCAGCTCCACTGTAAGGACACTGTGCATTCTACTTGCAGGATGCAACTTAAACTTTTGTGCAGGACAGTGTGGTGTTGTCAGATGGACTCTGTAGTACTGTATTGGCATTGCTATGTGAATCAGCTAATGTCTCTGCCATTACATACTGTGTAAATTACCACTGCTGTAACTACATTAATAAAGATAAAAGTAGCCTATAGAATAAGGGTGGTGTTAATGTCAATAAATCCCATGAAAAGACTCAAAACCAACAATGTGTCTCATTCATGAAACGTGAATTTGTATGTAAACTGGTGCAGTGGTTAGCATGTCGCCTCACAGCAAGAGGGTTCCTGGTTTGAACCCAGGGTAAGTTCTGTGTGGAGTTTGCATGTTCTCTTCATGTCAGAGTGGGTTTTCTCTGAGTACTCCAGCTTCCTCCCACAGTCCAAAGACATGCAGGTTAATTGGTGACTCTAAATTATCCGTAGGTGTGAATGTGAGTGTGAATGGTTGTCTGTCTCTATAGCCCTTTTTAGATAGGAATTGTGCAAATTTACAGGAAAGCCCAATCAGTCTTTTATCAGCATTGGCAGTATAAAAACAAAATCGGGGAGTGCGGCAAAATGCGGCATACCTACTTTTGTTCATACAGAATGCACCTTTTTTGGGGCAATGGTGGGCGTGAGCAAGTAACAAAATGTGTAGCTCAGCGTGTGGCGTACACAGTGACGTGGGAGGGAAGCCGCGGCTAGTCAGGCGGCGATTCTCTCGTAAATTGGCCCGTTCTTTACCGTCCCCATCATCTGACGGTTAATGGCCTCTTCATTTGCGAGGGCAAGGAGGGCACGCAATTCCTTGTCTCCTCAGTTGCTCGTCTTTACAGTGTCTGTCAGGTTTGCGTTTCCCTCTTGCTACTAGCTGCTCGCTAATTCCTGCTATCAGCTGTTTCCTGTTTATCCACCGCCAGTGGCTCACACGTGCGGCGTCATCAACAGCTCCTCCCACAAGTCTTCAACAGCAGCTCCCGTTGCGGAAGGCCGCCTTGGTCTGTTTAAACTAAAAGGGTTCTGCCAATGTGACTATCCTACGAGGAGGAAAATTGGGCGCCTTGGATCAACTCGCCAATCCAGCTCTGTGTGTATAAACGCTCGCAGCTAGCCGACAAAATGGCCCAACATTCACAGAAAATCTGGCAGTGTAAAAGGGGCTTATGCGTCAGCCCTGTGTTAGTCTGGCGACCTGTTCAGGGTGTACCCCACACCTTGCCAAATGTCAGCCGGGATAGGCTCCAGCCCTTGCATGACCCCCCACAGTGTTTACACAGAAGGACATTTACGTGTATTTCGGCATTCATCGATATGTTAGTAGCTCCGATCTTCAAGATTCAAGAGGCATTATGAGACCTAATCTGAATGCCAATGTGGGTGTCAGTTTCTGCCCGACAAGACTATAATGCAACCCTGGAGTTTAGGACTGCCCCCTAATAGTTGACCAAAGGTC